TTTGAGAGATCTTCGATCAAATTTTATCAGTTTTAGTGACCAAAAAGAAGGTCCAATAATCAAAATTAGCCCTAACGATATATCGTATTTTCATTTTTTATCCAACACGGAGGAATCATAAAACTGACAGTAAAAACTATTGTTGAAAAATTCTTATTACATTATTTACATTGAATTAAATTAATAAACTTTATAAACTTTATCAGTTATTGTATTTAAATAGTTCATAAAAAAAAATTGATTTGCTAGATATTTCGATGAGATCAAAAAATTCTACAAATTTTTTTTTACACGTGATGAGTTGTTCACCAACATCTATATCGATATTTGATATTACAAATCATATTTATTTTAAATGCAAAATGATTCTTGAGAATTGTAACGACTTCTTTTCTCGAGAATTACAATGACCTTTCTCTTTTGGAAAGGTTTAAATGCGCAAAAAAAGTCTTGCATAAGCTTATTCTCTTTTCAATGCTTTTCAAATGTTGAAAATATTACTGGTAAATTAATAAAAATTCAGATCATGATATGATGCAATACAAAGTTTTTGTAACCCAAGTTGTTTATTTATTATAAAAACTTGTCGTTACTGGATGATTTTTATTAAAAATTAAACGGATAATCGCCTTCAGAATTCATATGAAAAATTTCGAATGGCGTTGTGCAACGATAAGCTATTTAGAACGTGAATACTACTAACTCTAACGCTAATAAAAAAAACAAATTGAAGATCACAATTTTACTACATTTGTTTAGTACAGATAATTAGATAATTCGTGTTACATCTTTCTGTGTGGATCTGCATTAATCTCGATATGAAAAATGTATAATGATAGTGAGATATTAGCAGTTAAACGAACCTATCAAACCCATTATTACGCTTTTGGGCTAATACACCAATGAATTATCAAGTCTAGGAAATCGGTGAGTTAATGTACGTAGTGAATATATGAACAGCAGTCAAATTATGACAGGTCGCATATTAATGCTAGTGACATCATCCGTAATTTTAAATTTGGCCAATACGTGTCGATATCGCTATTGATATCGATATTGATATGATGTCGATATTGATTTCGATATTGATATCGATATTGATATCGATATTGATGTCGATATTGATATTGATATCGAGGTCGACCCATGTGTACTTTTAAATCGCAAGTCACATAAGTTTCTTTTCTCGCCTGCTTGTTTAATATAATTTACTGTAGTGCTGTAGTGTCGAATATAATTTTTAGATCAAGTTTGATGACCAAAACCAACATTCAGCTAACATTCAGCTAACATTCAGCTCGAAAATTTTTTAAAAATGTGGATTAATCTTTACAGTAGTATTAGCCTTAATTATTGTATCGCAGTTGGAGGTTTCATATAGTCAACTAAATTTTTTTTGGCATTAATTCAGAGTGTAATAAACGATAAAATACATAAAATATCTCCTTACCTTTCATTCTTTTTTAAAAAATTAGTTAAAATTATCATGAATGAATAAACGATTTATATGCAAATAGAAGATTTGATCAACAAAATTCATTGCATATATATGCCTTTGGAAATATTCCAAAAAATAGAATTTCAATCAGAAAAAAAAAAAAAAAAAAATCTAGACTTCACTCATGACAGATAGTGATCTTATATTCGTTTGGCAAAACATGAGCTAGCTAAAAAACCTAAATTATGATTTTTAAATTGTTATTAAAATGATTTGATAAATTGTCTGGAATATGATGATTTCCTGTGCAAAAAGAAAGCTCTAAGCCAGAAAAAAAAAACTGATCTAAATATACATCAAACAAATCGATTTTAAAATATGCTTTACCAATCATTGCATCGATTGCATCGATGGCATCGTGTTCATCTAGAGAAAAAAAATAAAAACCTATGTCCACGACAAATTCTCATTTTTCCTCTCATAAAAACCTGATTTTTTATCCCATCCCCCATCCCCTTTTTCCTTATGTTCATCCCAAATTATCAAATCATTCGGTTCATCATCGGTCATATTTTTATCCTTAGCCGATTCTTTTTGAACAAGATCTCTGTACATCAAATCAACCATTTCTTGTTTATGTTCGATTTCTTTCATTCGTTGATCATGAAGCGCTGAACTAATTTTTTGATGTCGTTGTTCAAGCTCTTTCAAAGTTTGTTCGTTAAGTTCAATCACTTGATCGGTAATTTGAATATATTCTTGAAGTTTTTCAACGTCTATTCGGTGACTTGATTCTAATTCTCGACAATTAGTCAAAAGTGTATCGTAATCCTGGACTTTATAATATCAAATTAAAATTGTTAATAAAAACAAGAAAATCTATATATATATATAACTTAAGTAGATCCCTTTTTTTTTTTTTTTTTTAGATTAATTTTCCGCCGAGAAAAAAAAAAAAAATTGCTAACCAAATGCTTCAATAAGTTCATTAGAGAGAACAACAGTTGGTACACCAGTTTTACGAGACCTCAAAATTCTATTATAAACGATATCTCTATAAGATTTTCCATCTTCACCGGAAGGTTGTTGTAATTTTAAATCCGTCATTGATGAATTATCTTCGTATCGTGACATATCCGGTGATTTATTATTGTGAAATGGTTGATTTTTTATGGTTGGACTATTGAAATTTGAGTACATTTGTCTTTTTTTTCCACTTTAGTTAAACAGAGATATGAAAAAACCTTTTTGTGCGAAAAAAAAAAACGAACCAAGGGTTTGTATGGCTTAGAAATTTAAGGATATTCGGCAATTTAGGATAAAGCATGAATTAAAACAAGTTTCGTAAATCACAAGGATTTTATCTTTACTTGAGATCTGCAAGTTACATGAATATATATAAAGATGGGTAAGTTCGAAAAAATAACTTACGAGAAATTCAATGGGAAAATAGTGATCGATGTATCGGTCTGTTTTTGTGTAAAAAAAAACAAAAAAAAAAACATTCACATATTTTCACATATACTTAAATAAGTGAAATCATTATTTTATTTAAAGAAATGAGTAATCTTGACGTAATACGTATTATCTTTACATGATATTTATGATATTTGGTGAACGATTTATGAATTTACGAAACTGATAATGATAACAAGCATACCTACGTATTCTTTTCTATCGTTCACCTAATAAAATGCGTTTAATAATTTGCTATATTTAAAAAAAAGAATAAAAGAATTTTGAGTCTTCTAAGATTCTTAAGATTCTTAATCGGATTATATGTAAGTTAAAAAAAAAAAAAAAAAAAGAGTGTAGATCCTGCCTTTTATTTATTTACTACTGTAGGATCATTAATCGACATTCTTCCATAAAAGTATAATCTATCAAAAAAGCTTCTAAATACGTATGTACATCATAAAACATTCTTGATAACTACCAGTATTTAAAGCGGAGAAATTTTTAACGTTAATATGGTTAATACGTGTTTATGGTAAATATTATTGTGATTTGGCATTATCTATTCTCCACGTGTAATCGTGTAGCGGTAAATTTATCTAAAAGACGATGTTATTATTAATGTTATTAATGTTATTCGTTTTTTATTAAAATAAATATGTGAAACAGGTTAAGTCGATTAACCGCTCTAAGACGAACCGAGTATTACCCTAAACATTTTTAAACAGGTTTAGAAAAAAGAACATCCGATAAATACAAAAATATACTAGTATTCTCATGTCAGAAAATGTACTTTATCGAACAATAAATAATATTTTTAATATTTTATAAACATTCAAATAAACATTCGAAACTTGACATACAAGTTACAGAATAATAAATTGTAATAATGAACAAAATTTTTTTTTTTTTTTTTGAAAAAAAAAAACCAACCCCAAATATGCAGTATTAAAGTGTCTAATAATGCTCTATACTTTCACAAAATGTCACTAAATCCACCCATTAATCCAAATTAAATAAACCAAAAAAAAAAAAAGAAAAAAAAACTAATTAAAT